TGGACAGCAAAAATAATTACTTTGCAGGCTTTGAAATGTTGATTGTGCATCTCTCCCCTCTCCCCACCCCTGACATTTTCACTGGCTGCATGCATCAGACTGTCTGTCTCTCTGTCCGAGCACTCAGTCTTTCTTGGAGCGAACAAAAGTGAATTTTTTAAAATGAATGATTAAGTAAATTTTCAGTCTTTTCAGAAATGTGTGTCTGTCATGCGACTTGAAGTATAACAGAAAGATATGCTTAGTATTGCCTGATAACATATGAGAAGGTTGTAAAGGAAAAATAAGCTGCTGCTTTGTGGAAGCTTGAACCTCTAGTCCAACAATTGGAAGGGAGATTCAGGGAAAATTGCATGGAGGTGAGAAGATGACAATGATACACTCAGTCTGAAGGCTGCTTGGCATGACTTCTATGGCATTTCCAGAGATGTGTAGTCAAGGTTTTTTAGATAAAAGAACTCATGCATTCTTAATAAAATGATACACATCATAAAAATAACCAAATGGAAATGAGCCATTGGTGATGATGCGATTTTCTCCTTGGTAGTGGAAATTATCTTGCTGGAAGTTGGAAGCTGATCATTAGTTGAAGAGGAGATAACAGTATAAATGCTGGCAGGTTGTTGGGATACTATGGCTTTGTTTTGTGTTCCTGATAAAATTTTATAACATAGCATCCAAGAGAAAAACCCGTGGAAAATAAATGCTAAAAGTTGGTGCAAGCAAACTTTCTTTTTGAAAAAAATAATTGTCTTGTGTTTTCAGAGTATGTGTGGAAACACGGCTACCTGATGGAGTACTGTTTTGCATTGACTGCCTTGCACATAGGTATGACGTTGCAATGGATGATGTGTTATGTGATGAAAAACTGGTCATGCATGTACAGAGCATTTCCCACTGGGCACCTGCCAACATAGGACCTTACAGTCAGTCCATCAAGGTAAGGAATCTTTGTTACTTCATGTGAACTATATGCCAGTTTACTGAACCTAGTATGGTTATAAAGTCTCCTTCTCTCACATCTGAATGTGCAAAAGAAAATATGTAAAAAAAAAAAAAAATACTAAAAAGTGGGCATTTTTAATTTTTATTTTTAAAACTTATGGACAAAAAAAAAACTTAACCTGCATCAGTCCTTCATTTAACCTTTCATAAGACAGGTTAAATTATTCTTTGCAGAGAATCTCAAGAACAGCCTGCTTTTGTTGTATATTATAATTAGACCAAATAATTGTGTCACACATACACTTTTATAGACTGCCTAGAATATAAACAGAATTTAGGAACATCTGAGAATATTTGAAAACTGTTAGTTTAAAGCAAGCAAGTTCAAACTTTTTTACAGGCAAGTCAGTCCTAAAATTCTTATTTAATGAAATCCATGTTGAGGCTCTTGGTACTGCTTATGCATTTAAAAGTACAGCAAGGTTGAAGAAATGTTGTTAATGTTGTTTTTTTCAAATTAATAACAAATTGGATAGAGTATTACGTACTATTTAGAAGTATGAAAAGGATGCAGTAAAGTATCATGGAAAAGTGGACCAAAATTTAAATAAAAGACTCCTTTGCTAATACGGTACCGCTTGCCCAGCTAGTACTGTTCAGACAATTGATGAAGTAACTCCTTTTCTGTTGCAAAAGATGTATATATTCCTTTCTTACCAATACTTCTCTTGTGTAGTACATTATCCAGTCCAAATTATTGTGTTGTGCAAACTGATTTAAGCAACAAGTTATGGCATCTGTTTAAATTTCCTGAAACTTCTTTGAGTCTGCAAATCCACCTTGTACTATGGCCATGGAATTGTACTTTGTTTTATCTTTGTACCATTTTACGGAAAATTTCAGGAATAGTATTTTGCTTCAGAAGCTTGTGTGGAATTCGTTTCATTTCTGGGAGGAAATGTTGGTAGATAAATGCTGTATTAATCTTGTGGTTAAAGCGGGATGTGTTTTTATGCTCTGTGTATATCCATTTTTCTTGAGAAAGCAGAAAGTTGGTTAATTAAACTTTTTTCCATTCAGTCTTACGCATTAATGGTCATAATTGTATCATGTCATGCATAGTCCTGCAAAGATAAAATTTAATAAACTTTGCACTTTGTATTTGGATAAACTTCTCTGGTATATGATTGCAACTAATCTGTATTACTGTCCTGGAGCTGGCATAGACTAAATTCAGAAAAAAGAGAGAACTGAAAATTGCTTTAGTAGTCCAATGAACAGTCCCATGTGCAAATGGACAACAAACAGGCACTGCCAGTCTCTTGGATCTCCTGGTGGTATGGGACAGTCAGCATACCCCAGGAAAGGCTCTGTTCTCTTCAAGTACAGTGTAACTGGTAACGCTGATCAGCAGTTAACACGTTAAGGAAAACTTTCCACTGCTTTTCTTTTGTCGTTTGTTTGTCTTCCTGGAGGGAAAGTTTTAGTAAAGCAACATATTTTGCCTTAAGGTGGAAAATAGGTATTTTTACTTTTAAAACCCAATGACAGCAGGAGTAAAGAAACAGTAATCAAAAGCTGCACTTCTGCTACAAGATCACACTCGCTTTCTGTGCTTTATGGTTAAGTTCTGTGTCTTGTCCACAAACACATGTATGGGGAATTGGTAATATACACACCAGCAATAGTTTTGATTTTCCTTTGCCAGATTTTGCCTTACTACTACCACCAATATCTTTCATCTGAGTGTCAATATTTAATGTTATGCTGGTTTTATCTTGCTAAGAATCTTTGACTTTTTCGTAACGTATTTTTATTCTGCAGGGCTCTATCCAGTAAACATCAAAAGAATATTCTTTTTTTTTATTTCAGTAAATGTGTTTTATATTTGAGTATTTTTTTCTAAACTAACATATAAAAGATACAACCTATAAAACCTTTCATAACAATATATGACAGGAGTGCGTAAGTGCATAAACAACATTGAAAGTTTATTACTGGAAGTTAGGGATCTTGTGTCTTCTTATATGTGAATTTTCCAAAATTAAAAGCTTCTTCAGGCAGGTTTTCAGAACTCGGGCTATGCATGGGCAGATATTAAGCTCTTTGGGTCACCAGCAGAAGTGAAACACTTCAGTATGTTTTAGGAATAGAATACATTTTTCAGAATAAACAAGAAAGGACCAAAGGTAGTTTTTTAATCTTCATAGTCAACAAAAATGTTTTGAAATTATAGTAATTTTATGATGATCAAATGTTGACCAGTTTTGTACGTTTGGGGAACAGAAGCTTAAATGATTTTAAACCGGTAAATTGTTATTACCCTTATGTTGTGTATCTGTAGATTTTTTTTGTCATTTGCTTGACAACGATTGGACAATAAAATTGCTGTCATGTCAGTCCAATATTAAGTTTTGTGGACACTGAGGAATCATCGTGTATTTTAGCACAGTGTTTCTGCTCAGTTCAGAATAGGCCAAGGACTGTAACATTCAGGGTGTTGCAAGTTGTAACTGATGTGCACTGGCATGTAAGAGCAGAGCTCGCATCGTAAAGGTGTTGGTAGTTCATGCAAACTATGGAATTCACGCTTCAGGCTCAACAAATCACTCAACAGAGCATCAGTTTAATTCTGTAGGGACCTTGCAGGATCCTGCCAACAGTGCTATGAGGACAAAAAGTAAAAATTTGAAATTTACCAGGAGAATGTCCTGACCTCAGTCTGATAGATACCAAACAACAGTTGCAGAACGAAATTAGGATTTTCAAAGTATTTATAGCAAAATCAAACATTACTCCTCTTTTGGGATTAACGTTCTTTAAAAACAGCTTCAGTGTTTCTACTTGTAAGAAGTAAATGTGAACTGCTGTAAGGTATAATATGACTTTCTTATAGTTAAAAAAAATCTGAGATCAATTAATATATTTTTCTTGGTCCACCTGTTTTGGTGCAGAAAACTCTGCCAATCTGAAAGTCAGAAACTGGACTGTAAACTGTGTCAGAGTTATTGTAAAGGCTAGACTGTTGATCTCGGTAATGTATAACAAGTGTTGTGATTATGTCCTGCTAATAGTGGTACCACAGACTGTCTAGGCTATCCAGTCTGTGAATATGTGATGACAGATCATAGAATTTTAGAATGTACCCTCAGCAAGTTTGCTGATGACACCAAACTGGGAGGTGTGGTAGATACACCAGAAGGCTGTGCTGCCATTCAGCGTGACCTGGATAGGCTGGAGAGCTGGGCAGAGAGGAACCTGATGAGGTTCAACAAGGGCAAGTGCAGGGTCCTGCACCTGGGGAGGAACAACCTCATGCACCAGTACAGGCTTGGGGTGGACCTGCTGGAGAGCAGAGAGGGACCTGGGTGTCCTGGTGGACGACAGGTTAACCATGAGCCAGCAGTGTGCCCTGGCTGCCAAGAAAGCCAATGGGATCCTGGGGTGCATCAAGAAGAGTGTGGCCAGCAGGACGAGGGAGGTTCTCCTTCCCCTCTACACTACCCTGGTGAGGCCTCATCTGGAGTACTGTGTCCAGTTCTGGGCTCCCCAGTTCAAGAAAGATGAAGAGCTACTGGAGAGAGTCCAGCGGAGGGCTACAAGGATGGTGAGGGGACTGGAGCATCTCCACTACGAGGAGAGGTTGAGGGAACTGGGCTTGTTCAGCCTGAAGAAGAGAAGGCTGCGAGGGGACCTTATAAATGCCTACAAATATCTGAAGGGTGGGTGTCAGGAGGATGGGGCCAAGCTCTTTTCAGTGGTGCCCAGCAACAGGACAAGGGGCA